ACAACTTGTTAGAGAGCCGTTTAGCAACCGAAATTTGTCGGTAAGGTCGCAGCTTGACCAACACCTTGTCTCCCACCGAGAATTCCACCTCCCGCCTTTTCTGATTAGCATTGGTCTCCATCCGATTTCTGGCAATTGCCAAATTGTCTTTGAGCTGTCGGATCAACATRTCCCGTTCCACCAACATATCGTCAAGGGATGCCAATTTAGATTTTCTCGGTGGATATGGAATAAGAGAAGGGGGTAATTTGCCATATAAAGCTTGATAAGGTGACATGCGGATGCTACTGTGGTAGCTTGAATTATAACAAAATTCAGCCCAGCCCAAGTATTTGGACCATTGTTGAGGTTGCTCCGACACCATCGCCCGCAAATACTGCTCCAACCCCCGATTAACCACCTCCGTTTGCCCATCCGTCTGCGGGTGGTAGGCAGTACTATATTTCAATTGAGTACCGCTTAGTTTGAACAAACTACTCCAGAATTGGCTAACAAAAATCGCATCCCGATCCGACACCACCGTCTTAGGGAACCCGTGATGTTTGACAACAATATCCATGAATAACTCAGCCACTTGATGAGCATTGTAACTAGTGGGAAGTGCACCGAAATGGGCATACTTAGTGAGCCGATCGACCACCACAAAAATCACCGTGACCCCTTTAGACATGGGCAACCCTGTGATAAAATCCATAGATACATCCTCCCATACCGCCTCAGGAATCGGTAAGGGCTGAAGTAATCCRCCAGGAGCCTGGGTGGAATATTTTGTCTGTTGACAGACCAAACAATTCCTCACAAAATCATCCACYATCTTCCTCATACCCTTCCAATAAAAATTCGCGGATAACGCCACCATCATTTTCTTGGTACCACAGTGCCCAGCACTCTTTGTCKCATGAAATTCCTTGAGTAGTGGAAGTTTAAGTTTGGATTGGAGACCTACATAGTAACGATTCTGAAAAATCAGCAACCCATCTTGAACTCGAAAYCCCTCTATGCTTTCACCTTGTTGTAGCCGTCGAATCAAGACCGACACCTCCTCAAGTGTTCGATGTTCTTCCTTAAGACTCTCCAACAACCCACTAATAGGTCGGCTAAGGGACATGAATGCTGCTGTCTCGAATTCCTCCTYGCTATGCATGCGAGACAAAGCATCAGCTACAATGTTGGTGGCTCCCGACTTATACTCAATATCGAAATTGAACCCCATTAGCTTGCGGACATATTGTTGTTGAACCGGAGTTTGGATTACCTGCTGCATTAAYTCCTTAATACTTTTATGGTCAGTGCGTATTATGAACCGTCGCCCTATCAAATACTGTCTCCACTTATATACCGCCTCGACAATGGCATACAACTCCTTCTGATAAGTGGCTGCCATCTTCATTCTTGTACCCAATTTCYGACTAAAGAAACAAATAGGTCGGCCCGTTTGCAATAGGACAGCCCCTATACCATCACCGGACGCATCAGTCTCGACAACAAAGACCTCCTCAAAATYTGGTAGGCTAAGGACTGGTGCTACGGACAGCTGGTGTTTCAAGTCTTCAAAAGCCGCKTGCTCACGTTCACCCCATCGGAAGCCGTCTTTTTGGAGCAAATCGGACAGAGGGGCAGCTACGGATGCATACCCTTGAATGAAGCGCCTGTAGTAACCCGCGAGTCCTAGAAAACTCCGCACCTGTTTTTGAGTTTTAGGAACTGGCCATGTTGTTACAGCTTCGACCTTTTTGGGGTCCATTTCCACCCCTTGCCCCGAAATAATATGCCCGAGGTACTCAAGTGAGGCTGCCCCAAAGACACATTTGGATCGTTTCACATAAAACTGATATTCCTGTAAACAGTGGAACACACACCGCAAGTGCTCAACATGAGCTGTGAGAGATGAGCTATAAATTAATATGTCGTCAAAGAAAACTATAACGAACTTGCGTAAATAAGGAGAAAAKATACGATTCATGGTGGCTTGGAAAGTCGATGGTGCATTCGTAAGCCCAAATGGCATCACGAGGAACTCGTAGTGTCCGTCATGTGTTCGGAATGYTGTCTTATATATATCCCGGTCATGAACGCGGATTTGGTGGTATCCGGCTCKCAAATCCAGCTTAGTAAACACAATTGCTCCACCCAATTCGTCGAACATCTCATCAGCGGTAGGTATGGGAAAYTTATCCTTGACGGTCACGGCATTTAATGCCCGATAGTCGACACAAAAACGRTAATTGCCATCTTTCTTTTTAACCAACAAGACCGGAGATGAGAAAGGGCTGTGACTAAATCGGATAATTCCTTGGTCCAACATCTCTTTKACCAACTTYTCCATTTCGGCCTTTTGGTAATGAGGGTAGCGGTATGGACGGACATTAACARGCTTGGTATTTGGAAATAAATAAATTYTATGATCAATKACCCGATGTGGTGGTAGGCYATTTGGKTCCGCGAAGAGTTCTTGATAYCGGTCCAGAAGGGCATCGATATCTGGATGGATCGGTGTGGCTGKCTCGGAAGTAGTGGCATTGTCTTCTGCTTGGTTAGGTTGTAGTTTGTGGACCTCGTACACACCATAGATGTCATCAGTGTCCAGCAAGGCTTGCATCTGATGGAAYCCAATCTTYTTAAACCGCAGTGCATCATCCCCTTTTAACATATGCTTCTTGTTGTTGACYGAAAACTCCATAGTCTGGTGAGCATAATCGTGAGTTACTTTGCCCAATTTCTGTAGCCACTGGATTCCAAGTACCACCTCAGCTCCTTGCATAGGAAGTACAAATAAATCAACATTAATAGTCAGTCCCTGCAGCGTGAGATTGACCTGGGCACACACATGATCACAGAGCAACGTTGCTCCACTTCCAATGTACACCTTAAACGGCTTGGTGGGTGTGATYGGTAACTKCAATTGCTCAATCAACGAAGGTTGTACAAAATTATGGGTGCTGCCATTATCAATCAATACATGTACCTCWGTTGACGAAATCTTGCCCCACAATTGAAGGGAACGGGGACTGCCATGTCCAACCAACGAGTTTAAACAGGAGACATCGCCGGTCTCAATCGAGTCTTCTGGCTCTACCATCGCATCACTCGGTCCTGTATCCAAGTGCTCTTCTTCGGACGCCATCATYAGCATAAATTTCCCAGGGCATTTGTGCCCCTTTGCCCACTTGTTATCGCAATTGAAGCATAGCCCTAAGTTCATACGTTCTTGTCTTTCAGCGGCTGAAATCCATTTAATCGGAAGTGGGTTAGGCGTATTTCCGATTGGKTTTGAGGCGGGGGACGGTAACAACGCTTGTCGGGGCGRGTGAGCAGGTGGGCCCTGTTGTCTGGCCCAGGTGGTGTTGGTGGATGAACTGGGCTTAGCGGGTGTGGTCGTGGCCCATTGGTCGCTGAAGCGGGCCTCAGTGATGCGGGCTAAGGCAAAAGCATCGCCTAAGGTATGTGGTCTGGAGATCAACAATTCTCGTTGGATAGCAGGCTTCAGGCCCGATATGTAAAACGAGATGAGGAGAGTTTCAGAGACGTTCGTGACCCGATTCATGAGTTTTTCAAATTCTCCCTGATAGTGTGCCACCGTTTCGGTTTGTAGGAGTTTGGAAAGCGCWCCTTGCGGGTCTTCGTACTTCGAGGGTCCGAAGCGATTTCGTACACTTGCAACGAATTCATCCCATGTTGTGATGAGGTTGTTACGAGTCATCCAACGAAACCATTCGGATGCGTCGCCTTCTAAAGTAAATCCGATGATCCGGAGACGTTGCTC